TGAGGGTGCTGGGAGAAGTGTCCCTGGGGTGGGTGGGGACATCTGGGTTCTCTCTCTGCTGGCTGCAGATGGGCAGTTTGGGCAGTGATTGGCACAGGGCTGGGGGCACTGATCTTTGATCCCTGACCCTGCTTCCCAGGACACGGACGACTGTGTGATCCGCCAGACCAATGCTCACTTCCCCTACGGCTATGAGTACCTGGGCACTGCCCCCCGCCTCGTCATCACCCCCCTCACCGACAGGTGCCCGGGATGCCTGGGTTCTCTTCCAGCTAAGGGGTAGGACTGCGGGGGGCTGGGAGCCTGGGTTCCCTGCCCAGCTCTGGGAGGAGAGTGTTCTCTGGTAGGTCAGGGGTGGGTGCCCGGACGCCTGGGTTCCCAGCCCAGCTCAGCCTGGGAGGAAAATGGGCTCCAGTAGGTCAGGGAAATGGGTGCCCAGATGTCTGGGTTCTCTGCCCAGCTCTGCGAGGAGAGGGCTCCAGTAGTGCCTGGACACATGAGTTCTCCCCCTGGCTCTGGGAGAATGGTCTTTGGTAGGCCAGGGTGGTGGGTGCCCAGACACCTGGGTTCTCGGGCAGTGGGGACTGAGCATCTGCCCCCTTCAGGTGCTATATCACACTGACCACGGCGCTGCACCTGCACCGCGGTGGCTCCCCCAAGGGCCCAGCCGGGACAGGGAAGACGGAAACGGTGAAGGACCTGGGCAAGGCGCTGGGCATGTACGTCATTGTGGTCAACTGCTCCGAGGGCCTTGACTACAAGTCCATGGGCCGCATGTACTCTGGCCTGGCCCAGGTGAGCTCCCTCTGTCTGGAGACCCAGGCGTCCTAGCTCTGCCCTCATCCACATGCTGGGGAGAGAACCCCAGCATCTGGGTTTCTCACCTCCCCCAGCTTGACCCACTTCAACCCAGTCCCCTCCCCAGCCCTGGGCCCTGTCTCACTGCCTTCCTCTGCTGGGAGCTGGGCGTAGAACCCAGGTGTCTGGGCTCTGAGCTGAGCCAGCAGCGCCCCCTCCCCCCACCATTCACCCCAGTTGGGCATGGACCCAGGTGTCCAGGCCCTGAGCTGGGCCGGTGCCTGATTTCACTGCTCCCCATATTCAAGCTGGCCATAGAACCCAGGTGTCCCCGGTCCTCACCCCTACAGCCCAGTTCCCTTTCAGAGCAAAGTGAACCCAGGCATCCGGGCCCCGGCACCTGCCTTTATTTCTCCCCCATGTCCTCCCAACCTCGGCCAATCAGAACCCCTAGATCTCCCTCTACCCCCTCAGAGCTGGCTGCATCTCAGGGGATATGGTCTCCCTGCTCCACCCCAGAGCTGGCTGCATCTCGGAATACAGTTGCCCTGCTCCACCCCCCACCTCCCCACCCCCCTCTGCCAGCAGTCTTCCTGCCCCAGGGCAGGGCACATGGGTGGGGAAGGTAGAGTGGGGGGGCCCCTGACCACCACCTTCCCCACCCCTCCCTGCAGACAGGTGCTTGGGGCTGCTTTGATGAGTTCAACCGCATCAACGTGGAAGTGTTGTCGGTGGTGGCCCAGCAGATCCTGTCCATCCTCTCAGCCCTGGCCGCCAGCCTGGCCACCTTTGCCTTTGAGGGCCACCGCATCCGCCTGGTCCCCTCCTGCGGCATCTTTATCACCATGAACCCGGGTAGGTTCCTGCCAATAAGCAGGGAACCCAGGTTTCTGGGACCCCAGGCCAGGCCAAGAGACCCTACTTCCATCCTTGTGGAACCCAGGCGTCCTAACCCCCACCCACATTCAATCAACCACAAGCCAGGGAATTAACCTAGCTGTGCCCAACCTGATCCTGTCCAAGAGACCCCACCCTCCTCGTGGAACCCAGGCATCCTGACCCCCAGCCAAATCCAGTAGGCCCCACCCCTGCTCTCGTATCAGGGAGGGAGCCCAGGTGTCCCAGCTCTGAGCCGGACTTCTGGCTTCTTCACCATGGTGCCACATGCAGGCTATGCTGGGCGGACAGAGCTGCCCGACAACCTCAAATCCATGTTCCGGCCCATCGCCATGGTGGTGCCCGACTCGACCCTCATTGCCGAGATCATTCTCTTTGCTGAAGGCTTCAGCAACTGCAAGGTACAGGGGGAGGGGGCGGCTAGTGTGCCCAGTCCCACCACACTGGGAGCACTGGTTGGCTGTAGGAGGGTGAGGAACGAGGGGTCATTCGTTGATCATTGTTGACTCCAGTTAAGTCACGGGTTGGGTGGTCACTGGAAACCAGTGGTTGTGTGGTAGGGGGGGATGTTTCTAGGTATATTGATGATATGGGGGGGGGGCCACAGCTCCCACACTGGGAGCACTGATCTGCTGTAGAGGGTGAAGAACGGTGTCATTGGTTGTTCATTGCTGAGCCACTGGTTGGTTGCGACCCACTGTTGGGTGGCCAATGGGGGATGTTTCAGGCACGCTGGGGGGCTCAAGGGGCTTTCATGGTCTAGTCTGGGGGTCCAGTCACTCCATACTGGGAGCACTGGTTTGCTGTGGGAGATGAGGACCCCCCACCCATTGCCACCCAACCACTGGTTTCTAGTGACCCAACTGGAGGCAGGAGCCCCTTTCTTGGTGTCTTCAGAGCCAGTTGGATGGACGCGCGGGGGGGATGTTTCTCTCCTGATTGGGCGCCAGCTCAGGGGGGCGGGGTTACCCCTCATGGCAGAGGCTCGTACCAAGATGGCAGCTGTGCCTCTCCCACCCCCAGGTGCTGGCCAAGAAGGTCTACACACTGTACTCATTGGCCCAGCAGCAGCTCTCCCGGCAGGACCACTACGACTTTGGGCTGCGGGCACTCACATCCCTACTGCGCTATGCTGGGCGCAAGCGCCGCACCCATGCTGACCTCACCGATGAGGAGGTCAGTCTGCCCCCATGGCACACTGGGATACCCCATGGGAGATCCACGAGCTCCCCATGGGACCCCAGGGTGGTGGCCCTATCTGACCGGGTTGGCAGAGGTTGCAGCATGAGGTCAAAGTGGGATCGGCAGAGGTTGCGGGATGGGTCAGAGTGGGATTGGCTCTAGATTGGCAAGCACACTGGGACATAGGGGGATTCCAGAAGCTCCCCGCAGGCACCAGGGTGGGGGTCTTGTCCCCATGCCCTCACCCAGGTGCCCCCCAGATCCTGCTCCTGGCCATGAAGGACATGAACGTGGCCAAGCTGACCTCTGGCGACCTGCCCCTCTTCACTGGCATCGTCCAGGACCTCTTCCCCAGCATTGAGTCTCCCACCATCGACTATGGCAAGGTCTGTGCCGCGGTGCTGCAGCGCCACCTGGTGCCAGCCAGGGGCACTGCACCCAAGAGGCATTCTAGGACTCCTAGGTCCTCGTTTTGGTGTGGGGAGGGGAGGGCAGGTCTTCAGGATTTGGGCTTGCGGAGTTGGGACACCTGGGTTCTCTCTGTGCCATGGGGAAGGGGGGGTCTCTTGTATTTGGCCTGGCTTCTAGGACTCCTGGGTTCTAGGGTCTCGCCAGGTGGCAGGGACTGAGGCCTGAGGTTGCCCCCATCTCACCCCCCTGATACCAGCGGTGGATTTAGAGTGAGGGGGCTGGCCCAAGGGCTTTAGGAACGTGTGGAGCATGACTGAATATCCTCTGCCCTCCCTGCAGCTGAAGGAGACTATTGAGGGGGAACTGAAGCAGGTGGGGCTCCAGGTGACACCCCTTACCATCACCAAGGTGATCCAGCTCCACGAGACCAAGAACTCGCGCCATTCCACTGTCATTGTGGGCAGCACTGGTAGTGGCAAGACAGTGACCTGGCGCACCCTGCAGGCTGCCCTGTCGGCCCTGCACTGGTGTGGGGACCCCACCTACAATCTTGTCAGGGTCAGTGGCGGGGTCCCACAGACACGGGGGCAGGGGAAACGCATCTGTCTCCTGGCGATGGGGCTGAGGTGGGATCTCAGGGGGCTTCTTCCATCTCCTGGATATAGGCCACAGGGGATAAACTTATCCAAAGGGACTTGGGTGGGATCTTGGGGGCTTCTCTCCACAGGGCAAGTCATGGGAACAGCCCTGCCCTGAGAGGGGCATGCAGGACTTGGGAGGCATCTCGGGGGCCTTCTTCCCTCTCCTCGATAGAGGTTACCGGGCCTAATCCTGTCCAGAAGGACTCGGGTGGGATCTCACTGGGCTTCTTCCTTCTCCATGGAGGAAGAAGTGGGGACAGGCCTGCTTTGAGTGGGATGTGCTGGACTTGAATGGGATCTCAGGGGACTTCTTCCCTCTCCTGGGAATAAGCTATGGAGGCTAATCCTGGCCAGAAGGACTCAGGTGGGATCTTGGGGCTTTTTGCATCTCCAAGGGACAAGTTCTGGGGATGGCCCTGCCCTGAGTGAGGTGTGCTGGACTCGGGTGGCATCTCAGGGGGCTTCTTCTGTCTTGCTGCATCCTGGGCCTTGGACCCTGAGCTGCTTGGTCTTCTGGGAACATCTGGCCTGGGAAACCCCTCACAGACTTCTGCCCTATGCCAGGCGGGGCCAGGCCTGCCCCCACCCCAATGGCCATGTCTCTGCCTCTGTCAGGAGTTCCCCCTCAACCCCAAGGCCCTGTCGCTGGGGGAGCTGTATGGGGAGTATGACCTCAGCACCAGTGAGTGGACAGATGGCATCCTATCCAGTGTCATGCGCTCAGCATGTGCAGGTAAGTGGGGCCCCATGGAGGGGTTACCCTCAGCCCCCCAGGCCACATCTATCCAGGGCACGCTGGAACCATGCACCTAGTTGGCATCTAGATGTGGGAGTGGGGGTGGCATCAAACCCTTGAACCCAGCCCCTTCCCCGAGCCCAGCATCCCTGCTTCCACGTCCTGGTGCCCGCAGGGCAAGGCTGTGCATGCCAGGCCGAGGTGGCGGGCAGACATGGCCGCCGTTGCTAGGAGACGGGTGGGAGGGCCCACAGCTGACCCCAATATCAAGGCTAATCGTGGCTGACAGGAGCGACAGGCGTGCAGAGCTGGGTGGGGGTAGGGCTGGCACAGGGGCCTGTGGGCCTGGTGACACAGCCGACACCAGTCGGCCCCCTCTCCCCATCATCCACCTGGAGGTGCTGCGCTGGGGATGCGGTGCCCCCTAGAGGCCGCAGTGCAGGGCCACCCTCTCACCTACCCCTGTGAATTGCCATACTGCACTCACCCCAGTCCAAGAGGGTCCAGAGCCCCACAGCAGGGCCCTGGGCTGGGAGGAGGAGATGGAGCTGGTCACCCCTGGGGCAGGAAGGGGTCAGGAGACAGGGGGCGCTCCTCACAGGCCCCTCCTGGCAGACGAGAGGCCAGACGAGAAGTGGGTGGTGTTTGACGGGCCTGTGGATACTCTGTGGATTGAGAGCATGAACTCGGTCATGGACGACAACAAGGTGCTGACGCTCACCAATGGGGAGCGCATCGCCCTGCCTGAGCAGGTGTGGCAGGGTCCAGAGGTGGGGTGCTGGGATGGGAACTGGGTCGGAGTTAGCAGAGGGTGTCAGGACGGGGACAGGGTCGGGGACCAGCAGAAGGTGTTGGGCTGGGAAGAGCG